GCTGCATCCACTCGAGTTGTTGAGCTGAGCTCTTTGCTGATGTGTCTCCCAGCCCCACCAACGAAAGCTGCCGCACGCTGACCGTGAATGAGATGTTTCTCCTTGACTCGGGTGGCCAGTATCTGTGAGTCTGAATGATCCTATCAAGTATCGGTGCATTTTGCGAGAGAGATCAATGGGTTCCTTATAAACTTTTGAAACTAATAATCATCAATAGAGGCAGGTCTTTCATACTGATACCATGCGGATGTAAGTTTCTACTCAGATTCCTGTGTGTCTATCACTCTTTCCAGAGATGGTACAACTGACATCACTCGGACTGTGCACTGGGGTACTCCCACCGACTTTCAGAAGGTGAGCCTCAGGGAACTCAGAACCTGGCATTATGGGTAAGAGCCCAGAAACCTCGACCTCTGACTCGGTTCTTCTTTACATGCCCAGGAGGCTTTTACGCGTGTGCTGATGGGAAACATTGAGATATCGCGTACCATCTTCCCTACGGGTACCAGAGGTGAGTAAAACAAATTGTTTAAATAGTTCATTAATGTTCCACAAGATGTCACTCTTCACTTACAAGCTCTCAAACAGTCTTTGACCCTGAGACCTTTGGATGTAGCAACATAAATATCTCCTTCTATAGGCATGAATATGGAGATGCTGGGACGCAGGGCATTATGGGAAATTGGCCTCAACTATGGTCATGGCACCGGGCACGGCGTGGGGAACTATTTCGGTGTCCATGAATGTAAGACCATTTTTCAAATTTTGGTGTCATCTGTACTGTTAAGGTGTTTAACAATAGAGATTACTCTTTTGGTCTGTATTTACCTCACTCTTTTATCTGTCCACAGTGTTACCAAAATGCTGCTTATCCTTGCCCTTGCTCTTAATATGTATAAAATTGCCATGGGACTCTTTGTTCCTCTTCACTATTTTAGTTATTACGTTGGGAAAATTAACAAACAAACGATTGTTTTAGTTCTGTTTTTTGTACATGTGGTAGCCTTCAGTGAGACTGATCCTGTAAGTGTCGTCACAATGGTCCCTCGTGATAAATGCCTCTCCCACAGGGCCGGTGGGATTCCAGAGCAATAACATCCCATTTACCGAGGGAATGTTCACCTCCATAGGTGAGGTAACCTCTGGAGAGGCTGGAACTCTGTCGCTCCATTAAGAAAGTCAAATGTCACTGATTTGTTTACATCTATAGAACATGCAGGACATACAATGAAGGCTTTAAATATTAGTCAGTCATAAATATTCTTATAGTATTGATATTTTTGTTTGTACATTTCACTGCTATCCTCCTGTTATCTTGGTTGATTTGGATTGTGCTTCATGCAGAGCCAGGATATTACAGAGAGAATGAGTTTGGAATAAGGATTGAGGATGTAGCAGTTGTGGTAGCTGTTGAAACAAAGGTACAGTGCATGTCTCTTCTGCCAGCTTGATTTTAGTGGGACTCTCCATGCAAGTTATATAAGGAATGTTTATCAAGTCTATTGTTTAATGATTATAACTGGAGCAAACTACTGATGGAAGTGATCTAATGAGACCGAGGGGTGCTGTGATTTCTGAAACCACATCACGTGTGTCAGCTAACCAGAAGAGGAGCAGGGTGAGGAGGAGGAGGGGTACAGGGACACTAAATGTCCCATCTGTGTCCGTTTCCCTTGTCAGCATGGTGAGGGGTACCTGACCTTTGACACTGTGTCACTGGTGCCTTACGACAGGAAGCTGATTGACACTTCCCTTCTGAGCCCAGAACAGGTGAGAACAACATAAGCAGTCACATGAAGTGGGTGAAACATCTGTCAATGAGCTTAATCACTTCCACTCTTCCAATGCTAAATAAAGACTCATTTTCCAGTCTGTCTCTGTCTGCAATTAACATGTTTTTGAACATCAGTGATTGCACTAATTAGCCAGTAACATACTGTCCTGAGAAGTCTGGCACCATCAATGGAGAGATAATGACAAAAATAAAATAAACACTCAGGTAAATGAGTTCCTTAGTTAGCTATGGAATTAAGATTTCATCTGTGTGTATAATAGGATTTGTAGTCAATTATTTCAGTTACAATGGCTGAGGAGAAGACCTCAGTGACTTCGAAAGTGATTGCTGTGAGACTTCATAGCAAAAGGTGACTTGGCTGGAGTGAGCAGCCGGCTTGCAAACCCCTCATTACATGAAAAGGCCTTCATGACGTTGGTGCTGCAGGGAGCTGTGTAAACGTCATATGGTCAGATGAGTCATCCTTCACTCTGTTCTCACCATACATGTGTGGCATTGTACCTTAAGCTTGTTTCCCACGGTGAGCCTTTCTGGCGGCTTTGTTATTCTGTGGGTACATTTATCTGCTGAGCATTAGATCTACTCGGCCCTTCAGATGGCCTGTATCACGAGACAGGATTTCTTGCTGAGCTGGATAGCAGTAAGGCCTATTTAGAAGTAACACTGGGTTTTACAATATAACGATTCTGGTTCACTTCTTAGTGGGTTACCTCACCATGGCAACTCCTGCTACACGCCAAACCTGCTCCGGAGCAGGTTAAGTTTCAGGCTTAAGGATCACAAACAGCACTTGGACCAATCAGAGATAAGAAGTCGGTACATTACCTGGCATAACAAGGGCATTCCCAAACTGACTTGTCCATGAAAATCCTGTGACCACCATAAACGTTAGCTTTTTATTCGTTATTCAGTTTTATGACTGTAATATCTCTCAATAAGCAAGTCAGGCAGTTTTTCATCATAGACTTTTGATGTCCACAGGCAGAGATGCCCACCGATCATTTTTGAATTTCGTGCCCTCTTGCTATCTACGCTAAATCTTGATAATAAAAACAAAAAAAGTCAATCTCTACTGTAACGAGCAGTCAACAGCAACTCTTGGTTTTCCACATCACATTACAGGTCAATTTTAATGACTATTTTAATGCTCACATTAAAATACATAAGCTGGGGCCTTATAAATAAATAATGTTTACATTCAATATCTGTCCCTGTCTTACAGTCAGTGGTGGTGAATGGACACAGTGCAATTATTAATAGATAAAAGATGTATAGAAATACATAATCTGATAATCAAGTGGTGTGCATTGTTCCCCATAGTTCATTGCTTAAATGACATTACTGGACGTGTCTGTCTCATTTAGTTATATAGTTATTAGTCCATTAATTCTACCCTTTGCACTTTGAATGGTGTAATTATAAATTAACAAGGTTGTCGCTCTCCTAAAATTTGTCAGCACCTTGTGTCCATGTATGTATTACATTGTGGGAATCTTGATTAAACAACCTGTTATTTTAACGTTATGGGGAGCATTTTTTCAGTCCCTACAAGAGGAAACTCAATTTAATATCTGTGACTGCAATTACAAAACTAAAAATACTAAAAGTCTTATATTTAGTTTGGTTACTTATGGTTATGGTTAGGGTTCGTTAGGGGTTAAGGTTGCGATTGTTGGGATTAGGGTTATGCACATGTATGTGAATTGGATAAAGGAATATTGAATTTGTTTTGAAAGGTGACAAGTTCATTTAATACTGAGTAATAAGAAGTGAATAAAATGACTAAGAATAATTACGAAAACCACAAAGCAAACGTTTGGAAATACGACAATTATGGACATTTTATTAGCGACAGTCAGACTGCATATATACATTTATGTTGTCAGCAATCCATTGCTAACACGCCTTTCTAGCTTTGGTGCCAGCCACAATGTCGCACTTCATCGTTATTGTACATTTTAATTTTTCCTATTTTTCTATAGTAATTCTCTGTCCTGCTGCAGTGAAATACATAGCCCTGTTGCAATTAATACATATGTGTTTGGCTGATCATTGCAAATGGCATATTTGGTTTAGTTAAGCTGAAACTTAGGTTCTAACCCTGAGTTTGTTAAACCAGTTCTGTGATACAGGCCACAGGTAAATTCCAGTAAACTGTGAGTGATCATATTTAGCATTACTATCCTGATGAGACTGCAGTCCTCCAGGATGCCAATTCAGAGGCCGTGAGAATTCTTACTGAATGCCGACACCGTCCAATGTCACCAAGCCTGATGAAACAGTTATAATACACTCTGGATCAGTGCCTGAGGCAGCATTTGCATCCTGTGGTGCAACATCCCTCCAGTAGACCAGTAGAGTGCCTGTTACTTGTAGGACCTTTGCCCGGTTGCATATCAGCTGTCTTGTTGGCTGTGTATGTCATTGTGACCATCAGCACTACTTCTTTCTTATTTTTTTTTGGTTTGTGGACCTTTTTTTGTTATTGTATTTTACACTATGTTTACTACACTGAATTCTGCCTCTACTAGATGGTGAACTGGCAGCCCCCAGATTTAGAGAGACCTGATGAAGAACCATTTCACAGTGGATTATAATATAGCCATTTGGATGCTATTACCGCTTTAACATCAGCTCCTCAGGTGCTAAATAGTTGTGAGATTAAAGTCACACTTACACCACTCAGAAGCACCATGTTGGCCATATACAACATCCCTCCACATGTTCATCACCTCTTTTTTCCACCATTGTCTTCAGACCTGGCATCAGTCCCCCCGTTGACTCATAGGTACTGGCACAGTGTAATATCTGTAGCAGGGTTGATTACCCTAACCCAGCCTGTGATTACCCCTCTCCAGTTGCAGTGGCTAGATTCCTACTACAAGAAGATCCGTAGTGTTCTGGGGCCCGAGCTGGAGCGGCAGGCTCTCTGGGAGGAGCAGAAGTGGCTGCTGAGGAGCACAGAGCCCCTCCTTCCTGTTGCCATGGTGCCGTGAAGCTGCCTCACTTTCAAGGGATGGAGATGCTTTCACATGACAGTATTTTAGCTGACTTGTAATGCAGCAGCTTCTTCTGAATAAACATTTTACTCATCAAAGTTTTGGTTTTTGCTACAGTAGTTTCATTAGCTAACTCTCCAGATGCATTTTATTCTGAGCTATAACTGAGTAACTATTCCAAATTGCGGGTCCTTTCTCAGTTTCATATCACTAAGGCCCCAGCTATTTTGTTTCAGCATGCTTCTAAAGTATTTGATGCATTGCAGGCAGAGTTGGAGATTTCAGGTCCAGAGAGTACAAATCCAGACCAAGATTTTGTTTCAACGAACCAGCTGAGTACTCTGTGACTGTGACTCTTTATACTCAACTGGTTGGTTGAACTTTTTACTCTCTGGACCTGAAATCTCCACCTCTGATTGCAGGTTTACAGCTGTTTCATCTAGCAATTCACTTCATCCATGTGTTTGAGCTTCAATAAAACCTTGAAAATTCACATTCTCGGCACCAGCTTCTTATAACAATGAGATTGTTCCAGCGATAGTAGTGTTTGGAAGTGAAGCTTGACTCAGTGACGTTCTTCAGTTACCAAACACCCCAGCGGGTGACTAAAATCAGAACTGCTAATGGAGAAGGGAGGTTCTGCCAACCTGAACTTCTGCTTATTACTTTGCTAATGGGCAGCAGCTATAGAAATGAAACACAGCATTGCATCAGCTGTTTACTGGCTGTCTGAACGTGTTGCCCAATGAGGTATCGATATTGCAGCAGGGGTCAGGAGAGGTCCTCAGGGTGCAATTCTAAGAAAGGGTAGGGGGGGGGACTGAACCTGACAGGGCCGTGTCCGTGCGTTGTTTGCGATGTACGAAAACTGCACAGCAGTGGAGCATGTGAGCAGCTCAAGCCGCATCTCGGCCACATGTGAAGCACCTCCGGCAGAGCTCTGGTTGTTGCCTGGGCAACCTTTCCGTCAGCTCGGCAGGAAGGAGCACGAAGCGGCGCTTCCGGCCGTCTGCTTCTCTGTTGCCTTTCGATTCTTATCTCTGACGGAGAATCGGGGCCCCAGAAGCAGAGCCCTCGGACGGGAGGGTGTCCAGGGAAGCCCTTATCAGCGGCGTACTTGTGCTGCACAGCAGATTATTTCCACTGCTTTGTTTTGGTTTTTTTTTGGTTTTTTTGCAGTGAGGACATCAGTTCAAAACCACAAAAAAAGCACAATTTGACAAACTGTGAATGTGTATACAGCGCTGAAAGAGTTAGAGACCGGAGTACAGGTGTTTTGTTCAAGGTTAATCTCCAGCCCACATGACCCAATGGAAGGCGAAGCATATAAATACCTTTAACTGCAGAAAGCATGCAACCATCTTTCATCTGCTGGTCCTGGTCAGGGTCTGTCTCAGACTGCAAGGGGTACAGGGTTGAGGAGAACCCTGGGCAGGGTTGCAGTCCATAACAGGGCACATTTATAGATGGGGTCTAGGAGGAAACTGTGAAGAAACAGAGTAAAGGCAATCTTCACACAACAGAAACAGATGTGGAATTCAGACCCAGCACCGTGTCGCTGTTTATGCCAAAGTGCAATAAACAGCCTCAAGAAGTGTAAGGCTGGCAGGCCAATGGAGTACGCAGAATGACCCACCCAGGGGAGAGCAGAGGGCTCCAGCCAGGCCCCCAGACACTGCCCCAATGATGCTCAGCTCAGTTTCACTCATATCTCAATTTATAGGTATGCTAATATAAAATATAATTTTTTTGCAAACTCCAGCCTGGCTCTTCCCTGCTCCTCATTAATGAAGGGCTTCTTCCTTGTTTTAAGGGTCTTCAGTCCTGATTCTAGGAGCCTGTTATGAACTGTCCTAGCAGTGCACCTCACACCTGCACTTAATGTTTCCCATTCTTTTTGTAGGTCACTTGAGGTCATGCTCCAATTTATGAGACATTGCCAGAAAAGTTGACAGTTATCTCTGCCATTAGAAAGTCACTTCCGCCCTCTACCTGGGTGGTTTTTGGTTATTGCCAGTTTCTCTTGCTTCACGTTGTTCTTGTGTCCCACTGTCTTAGAAACTTTGAGCCTGGAAGCAGCCTGCTGCTCAGTGTAGCTTCTGCCAGCAGAACCAGGATGAAACCAGGATTTAAAAATGCAGATTTATTAAAAAATACAGAGCGGTCTCAATTTTTTCCAGAACTGTATTATTATTACTTATTTCCTTCCTTTGACTGAAACCTATGCCTTAAGCTTGGTGTTTCTTGATAGCTGTGAGCTTCTGGCGGTTACAACAGCAATGACAGTGACGTCTGGGCAGCGGTGCCCCCTGCCAAGAAGAGGAACCGTGTGACGTAACACGATGTGCAGACATTTAGGCATCCTTTGGCTTGGTTCTCCAAAGCCAGACATGCCCGTTGTTTTGGCAATCGCATGATTACAGAAACCCAGCTCATAAGCTCCAAAATACCCTGAGCCAGCCAGGAAACGACAAGTAACACCTGGCAGACAGTACAAGCCCCACAGGAAGTCACTCAAGAAATAATCATCCGCTTCGCCTGGCTGAAAACAGGCCTTATTTTTCTGAGGTTTTCGGCCTAGAAACTCAGAAAGTGCCCCCTCCAGTCTCAAAAGCCCTTCAGTTCGCTGTGGTTACAGACGTCACATTTGTTTTGCATTACTTCCCTTTCGTGGACACTAAAGGCCAAGTAATGTTACACATAATAAAGAAAAAAGACGACATGAAGATAGGAGCTGACTGCGTCAGAGCTAAAACCACCTGGACATTTGCCATTATGTTTCCATGGAAGCTGATGACATAATTAACCATCCTTCTCTCAGTTACTGATCAACATGAATAAAACAGCTTTGTTACCCTTTGCAGAGGGGACAAGGCCAGCTTTATATAATGATCAACAATATACGAAGTCAGATATAATTGTATTATATTTGAATATAACTAATACCTTAGGTATGTGGCTAACAGATAATAGTAATGTATAATTAATGATGTAACTTCGTGAGTTTAGTTAATATCTTAGTCACGTGGTTAACAGCATGTGGTGTAGTCATGGTAGATGTGAATAGACGAGTGAAGATACACTCTTGTATATGGCTAATAGTACAGTATAGATAGACTATAATATATAGAGAGATTTAGCCTTTATGCTGTCATGTCAGATTTGCAGTCAGTGCTGTTTCAAGACAGTTGCCATTCTGCTAAGGCTTACTCCCCACAGCACTGCCCCATTTCCAAGAAAGCCCGAGGCAGGGTGGACGGGGGCACAGCGACCAGCCAGGTGTTGAAACTTGCGGGACAATAGGACTCATGGGCAGGTGTTTAGGAGAAAAAAAGGGGGTTTATTGGGTCAAAACAGGAATAGGGAGATAAACAGGACCACGAGGGGTCAAAACGGGATGATGAGTATCGAGATGGGCACAGGCAACAAAGGGAGTAACAATACAGACAGGTAGACAAATACAAATACTGATGAGCAACAACAAGCAATAGACGTGACTCATCAGGGCCACGTCAGGGAGGAGACAGGAGGGTCAGGCAGCCAGGACATTACAGTACCCTCCCCTCCCCCCAAAGCGTGGACTTCAGATGATGTACAAGGAAGGGGACCAAGGGCACCAGACACCAGGGCAGACACACATGGCTAAAGATGAGACCAGACAGGAAAAGGCATGGCAGGACCAACAGGGTGACAGACAGTACACGAGACCTGAGGGGCAGAGCCACCGGAGAGGACAGGATACATGGCACAACAATGGACGCAGGCAGGGGCCAGACCAGGGACCAAAAGGACTGTAGGAGAGTCCAAACATGGAAGCAGACCAAACATGGAATGGAAGCAGGCACCAGGAACAACAGTCGCTTGAGGGACAAACACCAGACATCAACGGGGACCAGGGAGCACACAGGGGCACAGAGGGAACTGCAGGACCAGAGTAGGACCATGCAGAAGGGACTGCTGGGCTGGAGCAGGAGTGTCCAAAGGGGTCTGGGTTGGGTGAACGGAAATCTGGTTGGCTGTCGGTGTGCCCCTGTCTCCCCCTCCGAGACATGACAGAGATTCAGCCAGCCCCTCCCTTGAGTCCCATCCAATGCTGCTGACAACACTGGGACCTAAGACCAGCTCAATGTGGACCTCGGGATGAGGCGATGGCTCATGGAGCGGGACTCACTAAGTTCCCTGGAGGCGCATCCCCCAGGTTGACCAAACCTGGCCTGGCAGCGACCAGGTAGTTGGACGTTGGCTTAGCGGCGACCAGCGAGTCGGGCGTTGGCCTGGCAGTGACCTGCAGGGAATGAGGAGATCGCTAGCAAGGAGCCAGGAGGCTGATAAAGTGACAATAAGAGACAAGGATGGCACTGGTTGGACACCAACAGACTAGGTGCCAGGAGGAAACCAGGAGACAAGGTGGGCACCAGCGGGACACCTGGAGACAAGGCGGGCACTGGCAGGACACCTGGAGACAAGGCGGGCACTGGCAGGACACCAGTAGATGAGGCCGGCGCCAGTAGACGAGGCTGGTGCTGGCAGGACACCAGGAGATAATGTAGGAGCTGATGGGATGGCAGTAGGCAAGGAGGGTGCAGCTGGGGCACCTGGAAGTGAGCAGGGTGCGGCCAAGAAACCCAGAGGCACAGGACTCTGGAGGTGTGGCGGTGACCACCCCTGGGCAGGGCTCTAGAGGCGTGGTGGCAGCTTCCCCTGGGCAGGGCTCTGGAGGCACTGGGTCAGGCGTGGTGTTAGCCACGGGCACAGTCAGCTTCCTCCACTTCTTCCTCCTGTGGCCTGAGACAACGGGTAGAGCTGCGGCGAGCTGCAGGGAGCTGGAGGGCGGAGCAACTTCATACTGTGGGGAAGAGGTGAGCAGAGTAGCTTCATGTGGTGTAGAAGCGGTGGGTTGAGCGGCCTCATGCTCGATTAGCCTCTGGACCTTCTTCACCTTCTGGGGATCCGCATCTGGGGTGAGTCTTGCTAGCATCTTCCCTGCACACCAGAGGAAAGCTATACCCTTGGGGATCCTCCAGACTGCAAGATTACTCCACCACTTGTGGATGTCCTAGAGCGAGTAGAAGTCTCCTGCTTGAATACGGGGTGGCTC